AATTTTTTAATTCTACATTATATCGTTTTTTTGTTTTATTAATTTTTCATTATTTAATTCCTGTATAGAAATGAGGTACACATATAACATGTATTTTATGTTTGTTTTATTTTATTACTGAAGATACTTTTAAAAAGATTCTGTTTAACTTAATATATCTAGAAGAGGTCACTTATGTGTATTCCACTTATCTTTACAGATTTGGTTAGGTATACTAAACAACTAAAGTGGTTTTGGTGTTTGCCAACTCATCCGCCTCTGACTACCATCTCTATTGATCCTGATGTCCAGATGATAAATAGCCTGAAAATATCCTATAAAGCAAAATTGTGTAGGAAGATGTGACTACATCCAGTGAATCTATCTTTGCAAATCATACAAAGGGAATTATGTAACGTGTTTTCTCTGAAGGCCGAGCTTGGCTCACTCTCTTTATTACTTCTTTTTTCTGTTTTCCCATCTCTCACTTTAGAACAATGCCTCTTTCATTATTTTTTTCCATGAACTGCCAGCACAGATTTTCAGCAGTGTCTAAACAATCATTTTTAATGGTGCTGACACAGTAAAACACAGCACAGTAAAAAACAAATAACCATAATTAGTTGCTTGTTTGGTTTTCCATTTAACATGGATCTTTAACTTTGTTAAAGTAAATCTCTATGGAGAGGAGAAAAACATTTTGCAGTCAGTTCTAGTGAAGTTTGTGACGTGAGAAAGTGCTGGAAATTATTGCAATAGCCCCTGACAGGTGCTAGCTGCCTGCTCACAAGCCTGATCATTATTCAGGACTTATAGAGGACATGTGAGAGAGTGAGATAGATGTATGACATTGACTCATGCTCTGCGATTAGACATCAAAGAGTGAACCGTGTACAGAGATGGAGCTGGAGTGAGAGTGAGGGGTCTTCAGAACTGGAAAAGATGTGAGCCCCTCTGAACTCATTGCATTAATTAAATGGACCGGGTGTGTGAAAAGTTCTGCGGTTCATGAATACCTGCCATGACTCTCTTCATATTTCAGAACTTTCATTAGAGCAACTGCATTCAAGTGTAGTCTTGCTAATGGAGCACTGATGATAAAATCTCAGCTTGTAACTGTTGTTTCAGGCTTCTGATCCATCACAATCCAGTCCTTTTCCAAGGAAAGGTGGATTCAAAATGACAAGGAAAACACAAAGGCAATATAAAACATGATCTCATGTGCAAAGGTATGTAGTAATAAAAAGTCACAAAATAAAGAGTTGGCCGAGTCAGATAGACAGAATGTGGCATTATGGGATAGCAAAGGCTGAACACTGGATGCAGTTGGTCATTCTGGTTTTCATATGTATTTGGGGCATCCTAAATTGTAAAAAAAAAACTTATTTCTATTTGATTTTTGGTTTTGGATTTTGGTGTTAGTTTTAACACCTTTTCTTCATTAAAGTGGCAGAAAAGTGTGTGTCTGTATATAGGCCTATATACTTTATATATATTATATAGTTTGTTATAACATTTAATTAATCTTATTTAATTCAATCTTATTAATAATTGAACTTATTAATCTAAATTTAATTTAATTGTACATAATAATATAATTTACATATTTATGTATATTATGGATAATGTGAGATGTGAGAGTTTCAGCATTTGACAAATGTATAAAACGAAATTCATGGAATATAAAATATATGCTTCATTACATGAACATTAAAAATCTATATATCAAAAATATCATGCTATAGACCTGATATTAGTTTATACATGACAAATGAAGCGGAAACCTTTATTTAAATGTTTCTCACGTTGATATCAGGTTGTTTCATAAACTGTTTTCCCAGTTAGGCTGAATGATAGTCCAGCTGCGTACCTCACACAGAGAAAATACGGTGAACGCCCTCAGATATTTGGGAAGGGGTGTCATGTTTTTGATCGAGAAGCTTCTATTTATAATGTATTGCTGCAATAGCTCGAATGTGCGCGCTGTCAGGCGCTGAGGCGGGAATCATATGACCTGCGTTCATTCCTGTACTTGTAGTACCGCTGTGACGCGCGCTGTGTGAAGCGCATTTCTCCGTCGCTCGCGAGAGGAGCTCAGTATTATCATGTACCAGACCGCTGTGCTGCACTGAAATACTGTCGGATATTTTTTCAAACAGCGGGCTCATTCTCTTATTTACAGAATAGACGTGATTACGGGAGACGATGCCTGAAGAAAAAGGTAATGTTGCGCTTTGACGCTCTGGTTATTTTATTATTTCAGATGGCGGTTCTGCCGCTTTGTCAGTGGGAACCTGTGTCATCTACATGTTGAGTTCATTTTAGTAATGTCGGAGCATGGTGGTGTTTTGCAGTGTTATGACATCAAGTCTGTTTATCATCATTGAATTTTGAGCTTTAAGATCATAATGAGATTTCATGATGCATTGTTGGGACGCATGGCAAATATACAACCATAAATATATGTGTGTGTGTGTGTGTGTGTGTGTGTGTGCGTATATATATATATATATACGCACACACACACACACACACAGTAGGCTATATTGTAAAAAAATGTGAGTAGCATTTTTGTTAGATTGAGGCTCTGCAAAATATTGTGAGGATTGTCTATTAAAACAACAACAATAACAAACAGCCCACCTAGAGAATATGCATGGTTTTGGCAGAAGGACATGCTGTTGCACTCCAGGAGCGCAGATGCAATCTGGACTCCTTGGACAGCAGTCTAGAGATGTTTTTGCTTGTGAGTGTGTGATAGAAGGAGACAGTGAGAACATGGAGGGGAGGGGGAACAGATAGTGACATGCTGTCATGCTATTTATTTATTAATTTATATTTATTTTTGAGTAAGAATTAATGAGCACTTGATTATTATCAGAGGTTTGCATGTTTAGTACTGTGAGGCTAAAAAGCCAAGTTTTAATTTGATTGTCATAGTTGTCATGTTTAGACATTGCAGTGATGTCTGAATAAGAAAATAGACAGATAATTGCTTTCAAATGTGTTCAGTATGTATTAAGGTTGTTAGCAGGCAAAAATTTAAAGGGGTCATATGATGTTGCTAAAAAGAACATTATTTTGTGTATTTTGTGTAATGAAATGTGTTTATGCGGTTTAAGGTTAAAAAAACACATTATTTTCCACATACTGTACATTATTGTTTCTCCTCTATGCCCCGCCTTTCTGAAACGAGTCGATTTTTACAAAGCTCATCGGTCTGAAAAGCGAGGTGTGCTCTGATTGGCCAGCTATCCAGTGCGTTGTGATTGGCCGAATTCCTCAAGCGTGTGACGGAAATGTTACGCCCCTTACCATACTGTGATGCCTTGTCCCGGCCGGAGCGACGAGACAAAAACATTCAAACCCATTATAAACGAGGCATTTGTTGCATTCAGTGGGGACGGATTATAATGGCATATACTGTCTTTTTACGCGTTGCATCGCGCAACGTATACATAAAACCATGTCTGCATTTGTGATCGGAGAAATGACAAACAACAAGTGCTACTCTACACTGCCCAAAAAACT